ATGATGATGATGATGATACTCATAATCATAATAATAAAAAAATTATTGATCCTTAGGAATCTGAAGAATGTTTAATGGTATGGGGAAAAGCTCACAGAACAATATGGAAAAAAACATGCAATACAGTTCCAAAGCTGAAAAAAAATGGAATAAATATATGACTTTACATGTGTAAAAAAAAAAAAAAAAAAATAATAGTAATAATAATAAAATAAAAAGAATTTAAAAAAATTGAAACCATTAATAAAAAAGTTAAAGAACATCAACAACATCAACAACAAAAAAATGAAAATAAAATAAAATAATAATAATAATAATAATAATAAAAATAATAATAGTAAATGCAGTCATAGAGCTCAATTAACTTCTCTTCCTGTAGGTGGAGCTGTGCCCACTGGGCCAAGCTTCTCTTCTCCATAGGTGGGATCCAATCACTGCGCAGCAGCTCTTCCTCCCAGACCGTGCAGGTCTCCAATCCTGAGTGCCTAGGGCCTTCTCTTGTGTTTCCTCAAGCCAGGCCCCGCTCACCTGTGACAGTCACCACAATACTGGCTACACGCCAGGTCGTCTGCTCCTGGGAGCCCCGTTTTCATGAATGCCTGGGCACACTCTCCCTGTTTTCCTCCCTCAGACCCTATGTTTGTAGAGCTTGGGGCTGAGAACCCCCAGTGAATTTGTTTGCCCTCTAGTAGCAACTCCCCTGGTAGCTGGTGCAAGGGACCTCAGTTGTCAGCACTGGTGGGAGTAGCGGTAGCCGGGAGTTCTGCGCCGCTAGTCCCGCGTCACTCCCGATTCCCTAGGTCTGGCTATCGTGCTCGGTTGGCTTTTACCTCTGTGAGTTCAGGCGGGCCGACTAGTTATTTCAGCGGGATCCTTAGTGCTGAGTCACGAGAAGCAGGTGAACCAGAGCTAGAATGCAGCCGATCCCAGCTCGGTGTGTTCTGAGAAGGCCAGACTGTTCGCCCCGGATCCACTTCAGCTCAACATTGCCTAGTGGTCCTGAGCAAACAGCATTTTGATAGTTTACTTCTCCCTATGCCCGCGCAGCTGAAGGGGTTAGAGACTTGATCTCTCCATGTCCTCCGCCATGTTGGATCTCTTAGATTTTAAATTGTCACTCATCTTACCAGCTGTTCCATTTTACTTGGCGGGTGGGCAGCTCACTCGCGCTGTGAAGAGTCTGCTCTAAGGTGCTCCGCAGGAAGCGGCGGCGGCGGCGGCAGCGGCCGCCGTCGGGACGCCCGGGGAGGGGGTGCGGCTGGGGGAGGGGAGGCAGCGCCGTGGGGCCCAATAATTATTATTCTGATTTATATTTTCTAGGTTTGAAGAAAAGGCTCAAATGGATCCCCTTAGTGCTCTAAAATATTTACAAAATGATCTTTATATAACTGTGGATCATTCAGATCCAGAAGAGACAAAAGAGGTAAGGAAAGGTGGTAATGACCTACAGGAATTGAGTATGTTTTAAAATGTCTTTCTAACTTGAGTGTTGAAAATGAAAATTTGACACTAAGCTTAAAAATGATAACAGAGCAGGTAAATTAAAAATTGAACAGGCATATTTTCATTTGATAAAATTCAGGTGACACAGGAAAACCATTCGAATTCTCACATATAAAGTTTTAACTTAGACATTAGTTTTGTTTTTCAGGATGAAAACAAAGTTTTACTTTTTCCATAATCCCATGATTCTAAGCCTGAGAAACAATAGCTGACCATGATTATTGAAGTTTTTGTTACATGGGATAAAGCAACTGTTTCAAAAGATTTCACATTCTTAAGGGCATATTTGCCCATCCACTGTGTGAATGTGCCTGCAATGACTTGCATGGTTTTATATTTTATATAGTCTTTCTTCTCACTAACTGATGAGATTCCTTTTGTCATTTTTTTTCTCTGCCAGCCATCTTGCAGCATCTGAACTATATTCCATTTTGCTTTTCTGCTCATAGAATTGGTACTAATGATATGTAGTTCTCTTCTTTATATCCATTTCCCTTTTAGCTGTTGCTTTGCTTTGACTTTGTAAAAACAATATCAAGCAGTGTTTTTCTCTCCTCAGCATCAGTATAAGTGGTTTCAGATTTAACGTCAAATCCCTTTCAGGCACCAGGTTCATTGTACTTTTAAATCAGTAGAGCCAGCCATGTCCTCAGCACCAAAATGAAGACAGATTCTTTCATAGTATCCTGCTGTGAAAATAAGTCCTGTTGCCCTTACTCGGTATTGGTTATTACCCCAGGTCAGGTAGAGAATCAGCAGAACACACTTTAGAACCCTGTGTGGGGACAGTTAATTTTAATTGTCTTTTCTTGAGACTTACTCAATTCATGATAACTATTTGAAAGAGGGGAAATTATTTAGTTTTGCTCAGAAGCAAAATACGTTTGGTATAATCCATTTTGACTTACAACTCTACATAGTTGCATAGAGAACATTAATGTTAATTTTGTTGGATCATGCATTTAAGAGTTGTAAATAGATATCCTTGTGATCTGTCCATATTCTATATAAAATGGCTATAACTGGGCAGTCATTTTCCTCTTATTTTTAAAACCAAAACAAAGTATTTCAAAGTAAATAATTTCAGCTGTGTGAGCTGTAAGTAGGCCAAAGAAAACAGTTTGTTCTTAGCTAAGTTAATAGGCAAAAATCAGGACAGGGAGGAATTTCAAGTTCACATAGACCCATTTATTAATTTTGGTAGCTAATTTCTATTTTTTTTCCTTTTTCAAATAGTAACAACTTCTCTTTTATATGCTATATATTTCCATTTTATTTCCTAAAAAACTTAAGCCAGAGTTGTTTGGTCCTGTTATAAGTTAATAAAATGACATTCTGGGTGCTGGGGTTGTGACTCAGCAGTAGAGTGCTCGCCTAGCACATGCAACTTTCTGGGTTCCATCCTCTGCACCACATATAAATAAATAAATAAAAATAAAGGTGTTGTGTCCATCTACAACTAAAAACTAAATAAAATAAAATGGCATTCTGTGTGTTAGAATCAGTTACCTCAGAAAATTTTACAAAACCAGTACTCCTACCCAAATTCTCCTCTGGCTGCATATCTATCAAAAAACAGAAAACACATTTGATATTGGGGATTATTGGTCTGAAAGGCGATTATTTTGTTTAAGAATGCGTGAACAGATATAACTTTCAAAACTTCTTATATTCCAGTAATCCATTTTGGGGAAGGAAATCCCCAGTGACAGAGTATTTATTATATTTGCAGTACTTTTCAGTAAGATACCTAAACTTTCGCTTTTCATTATAGGAGATCATTCCCCTTGTTGCAAAAGGCCTATGTCTCATTTTCTGTAGTAGCTTGCTTTTGTTCTATTTGTATGTTTTACAAATTTTTCATTATTTAAATTACTTTCAGAAACCAAAGGTTTTTTGGATTTTGTACACATGGTTGTCAATATGATTATCATCATTGTGCCAATTATTAGGATGAGGACAGTAAACTACCAGCTATATACCAGAACATGGTTCTTTGTTTCCTCTAGTCTCCACAACATGGTTTCAGAATTGGTGATAAAATTCAATAATTTTATAAACTGATTTTTTAAAGTATTTTTTTTCTAGAAAAGGCTTGAAAAATGTGTACCAAATTCAAGTCTACCATTTTCAGAGGGTACTTATAGAGAAGGAATGAAAAAAAGTAGTTTTCAGCCAGTATAGCATGTTCTGAATTAATTATATAGTGCCTGCGCTGTTTCCACAGTACTTGTATCATTCATTTAATAGTTTGATTTCCTACAATGTGCCAGGCATTCTAGGCTTAGGAGATACATAGCAAACAAAACAAGATCCCTGCCCAGAAGGCTCTTATGTTCCTTTGGGAGAGACAATAAACAGTAAGCATATTAAATTAGCAAGGTATATAGCATGATAGAATTTGATAAGCATTACAGGAAAATAAAATAAGCTACAGGAAGGATAAAGGGGACCAGAGGTAAGAATTGGGCAATTCTAATAAGATGATCATAATAGACCTCAATTAGAAATAAGACATGCACAAAGACTTGAAGGATGAGGAAATGAGCTAGGCAGATAATTTGGTAAAGATAGTATCTAGCAAAGCGGGGGTTAGAACAAAGATCCTAGGGTTGAAACATTCTGGCATGATTTAGAAGAGTGGCATGCAATCCATGGTGACTAGAGTAGAGAAGAAAATGAGAGCAGTCAGAGATGAGGTCACAGAGTAAGAGCAAGGACTGGGAAAACAGATGGTGAATGCCTTCCAAAGCCTTTTTAGGACTTTGGCTTTTAGCGTGATTGAAGAAGTCAGTTCGGGCTTTTGTGTAGAAGAATGATGTGATCTACACTCTGTTTTAATAGATCACTGCTATATTGACAACAGACTAAAGGGGGAAAAGTATGTTGACAGAAAGACTCACAAAGAAGATTTTAGAAATCTAAGCAAGAAATTGTTCAAGTTCAGATCAAAATAGTAGAAATAGAATAGTAGCAATAGAGAGATAAGCAAAATCGACCAAATTTTCAGTATATTTAAATGTAGAACCAACAAGTTTTTATGGTGAATTGAATGTAACATTCAAATAAATAAAACTGGAAGGATGAAATTAACTTTCAGTTGAAATGAGAAGGTTCTGAGGGGAGTTGTTTGTGGTGGTAGGTGGGGACTTCTTACTGGAAATCAGAAAGTTGATTTTGGGTATGTTCATGAAACAACCAGCTAAGGTGGTAGTTGGATATTTGAGTTCAGAGTTTGGGAAAGGGCTCTATAATGTCACTTGGTATATGTTAAAATCATAGGCCAATACATATCAGTTCCACTTATTTAATCAGATTGTTAAAATAAGTTTTTGACTCCTCCTCCTCTATGTAGAACCAGTTAAGTTTGTCTTTTACCTTAGGAGTTAGAAAAGATGAGCAAGTTAAACCCCAAATAAGAAAACAGGAAATTAGTTAAATAAGAAACAAGCAAAAGAGAAAAATTCAAAAGTGAAAAGTTGGTTTTTTGTAAAGGTAAATAAAATTGGTAAACTCCAAGCAAGACTTATGAAGAAAAAAGTGAAAATTATATCAACATTACAGATAAAAGGTAGAAATCACTATGTTACATTAAAGAGTAATAAATTTAAGATCTTGATGAAATGGACAATACTTTAATGATATGATTTACCAAAACTGACATAAGAAGAAACAAAATCTTAAGGAACCCATATCCATTACAGAGATTGACTTTGTAATTAAAAATGTTCCAATGGGGCTGGGGTTGTGGCTCAGTGGTAGAGCACTTGCCTGGCATGTGTGAGGTCCTGGGTTCGATTCTCAGCACCACATATAAATAAATAAGGTTCCATTGACAACTAAAAATATATATATTAAAAAAAACTTTAATAAAATGTTCCAAGAAAGAAAGAGCCGTGGCTCTATCAATAAATTCTGTCAACCATTTAAGGAAGGGGAAAAAAATTAACTAGTTTTGCATGGACCTCAGAAATCTGAAGGACATATGTGAATCCTAAATCCTTTTATGAAGGTAGTTTAAAATGATATAAAATATTGGTAAAGACATTACAAGCAAAAAAAAAAAAAAAACCCAAAACAGTATCCTTCATTAATGTAGAAGCAAAATTCTTAAGAAAATTTTATCTGATTAAATTCAGCAATATATTAAGTAGTTAATATACTATTACCAAATAGAAGTTTATCCCAGGAGCCAGGCCCAGAGGCACATAACTCAGGAGTCTGAGACAGGAGATTGCAGGTTCATAGCCAGCTTCAGCAACTTAGTGAGGCCCTAAACAACTTAATGAGATTCTGTCTTAAAAGTAAAAAAATCCAAAGAGCCGGGGATGTAACTGATAAAGCACTCCTAGATTCAATCTCCAGTTAAAAAAAAAAAAAATAGTAGTAGTATTTTTATCCTAGAACTACATGATTAGTTTAACATTTGAAAATCACTGTAACTAACCACACTAACACAATGAAAGAGAAGAACCATAGATTATCTCCATAAATGGAGAAAAGCATCTAACAAAATTCAAACTCATGATAAAAATTCTTAGCAAACTAGGAATAAAAAGAAACTTTCAAAAATCTCATAAAAACATCTATGAAAAACATGTAATAGGACCATACCTAATTGTAGAATATTAACCTCTTTCCCCTGAGATTATGACAAAGAAAGGACATACTCTCTCCTTACCTCTGTTCAACATACACCAGTTTTAGCTAGTGCAGTAAGGTAAGAAAAAGAAAGAAATGGCATGAAGATTGGAAAGGAAAAACTAATTTTTTTTTTTGCATTTGTAGATAACTTGATTGTATTATAGAAAATCCCTTATAATATACAAACCAATATAAATGAATATAGGAAATTTACATAATACAAAATCAATAGAAAAGAACAACCATATTTTTATAATAGCAATAAACAATTAGCAAATGGAAACTTAAGTCATACTGATCATATTAGCATAAAGAAATGTCAAATATGTAGTCCTAAGTCTATTATAAGAATTTATAATATTGGAGAGATTTATGGATTGAAAGACTAAAATTTTTTTAAAGTTGCACATTGTCCCCAAAATGGTCTTTAGCTTAATGCTGTCTCTTTTGATAATCTGCGAAGTTTGATTTTTGTTGTTGTTGAGGACATAAACAAGCTTATTCTAAAATTTATGTAGACATGCAAAGGATGTCGCTAGACTACCTGATATCAGGTCTTTTGTATAAAGCCACAGTAATGAAGGCAGCATGGTACTGGTCTAAGGACAAACAAATGGATCAATAGAATAGAATAGAGTCCAGAAATAGACCTGCATATATACATATATAATCAACTGGTTTTCGACCATGGCGCCGAATTCAAGGAAAGTTTATTTGTTTAGTTTTGGGGACAAATGATTTGATTAACTGGTAATCTTAACCTGGGATACTCTTTACATAAAAAATTAAGGTAGATTACTGATCTAAATATAAAATAATAATAAGCTTCAAGGAAAGAAAACAGATTTATCTTCACAACCTTAAAATAGGCAAGATTTTAGAGACAACACAAAAGGCACTAAATATGAATGAGAAAAACTTGTTATTGGTCTTCAACAGAATTTAGATTTTTACTCATTAAAAGACATTAAGAGGGCTGGGGATATAGCTCAGTTTGTAGAGTGCTTGCTTTGTACGCACAAGGCCCTGAGTTTAATCCCCAGTACCACCAAAAATTAAAAAGACATTAAGAAAAGAAAATAGACAAACCACAAACTAACCAGTATTTTGCAGTAGAGATATCTATAAAACTTCCATATATTTTTACTCTTCCTTTTATCCCCCCCTTTTTTTTAACTTGTACTTAGATAGATACATCTGGAATATTTGTACCATTTATGACCTTCAAAAGACTGTTAGGGCTTATAAATATTAATGCAATTAATACCTGAAAATTTAAAGGTTGCAAACATAGATCCTGAGGAAATTGTGCTATCAATTGCTTGAGCATTGAGAAGTGCTAAGTAATTCCATTGATACTCTACCCATTTGTCTACTCTTAGTCTTTCCTTTAACTTTCCTTTTTTCCAGCATCCTCCTTCAGGATAAATATAGTTTTGTAAAAATTTTTATTAATTTGTTAAATTGTCAGTGTTGCAATGGTTTGTCTTACCCTATTTTGTCATTATTTGGTTGCATTTTCTATTTTAAAGTAACTTTAGCTGGCTAGCCTGCAGATAATGTTTACAGTATTATTTCCATTTGAAAAGGGGCTTTGAGGGCTGGGGTGGTGGCTCAGTGGTACAGTGCTTGCCTAACACATGTGAAGCACAGGGTTCGATCCTCAGCACCACATAAAAAATAAATAAATAAAATAAAGATATTGTGCCCATCTACAACTAAAAAATAAAAAAGAATACAATTGAAACCCACTTAAAAAAAAAGAAAGAAAGAAAAGGGGCTTTAAGTTTTAATAATATAATTATACATGATTGTGGGATCCCAGTCTACTTTTTTGGGGACCCTCGTGTTTCTCACAGTTTGATTTACACAGCAGAGATATCAGGTGTTTTATAGGGATATGGTTTTGTTGTTGTTTTGTTTTGTTTTGTTTGGAGATAAGAGTGCATTACACTAAAATTCAGTGACTACATCTAGGGTACCGGTCTATTCATCTGTGACAAAGTCCCAAGTGAGTTATTTTATTTATGAGTTATTTTATTTTATGGCAGTAGACCTGCTGTTCCTTAGTAAATATATACTTTAATAAATTTTTTAAGTAAAATAATTTCAGTACTTGGTCTCATGTTTAGGAAAACAATAATAGCAGTCCAGTAGAAAAGTCAGCATATTGTTTAAATGTGATGTGCTTGCCAATATTTGTTGAATAGACTTGGACAACACATGTGCAAAAATAGACAGATACTAATAAATAGTCAAAGTTATAGAAAGTATTATTCTTAAATGTGCTAGCCATCTGATTTTCTTCTGTTTTACTTTGCAGTTTCAGCTTCTAGCTTCAGCTCTCTTCAAATCTGGTTCTGATTTTACAGCTCTAGGTAAGTACATCAAGTAAGTAAGTCTAGTCAGGTGCCCTAACATTTAAGGTTGGACTTTAGTTTCATTAAAATGAAATAGTACTAGAGATATTCATCCAAATAAGTGGAACAAGTTTCAAGATAGGGTGTAAAATTTCTTATAACCTGCTTTTGCTTTTAAGGTTACTTTCCAAGTATCCTTGCCAGTTTGTAGATCAGTCTGTAATTCCTGTTATGCCACTACTGACTGGTGATACAATAGATGGCAGTAGAAGCATGGTCAAAATAAATTAGTTTAATACTGCTTGGAATGTCCACTCTCTGTTGTACTTGCTATGAGATAGCACTTATTGGTTGAATGGTTTTTCCTTTTAGTTTGTTGTTTGTGGAATTGTATGGTGTCAAAAGAATGGTAATTGGGTAAGGCAATGAAATAAATGTTATGAGAGTAGAGAAAGTGAATAACCTCTTCCTTTAAAATTATAATTTTTGTTTGTTGCTATTTTAATTGTTCCAAGATAAGTTCCAGTTGAAACTTAAGTTTTCTCAAGTAGATTGTAGTAAATTGAGGAGTTTGTAGAAATTCCAGAACCAAGAGCTTTAGTCTGGTAAATTTTTAAGAATTATTTTTGTTAGGCTAACTCATTATTGGTCTCTTCAGTTTTTCACCATCACATAGTAGTTGTTTGAAATGAGAATATCCACCTCTCTACTTGTCATTATAAAATGGTTATACAGTGAATTGTATTAATTCTATTGATACTAATATTGTTGTTATTTGCCTTAGAGTTGGGCAGTAGTGTTGGAATTTTCTTGTACATATAACATAAATACTAACTTTTTATATGTGGAATAAAATAACACTTGAGGATATCAGTTTTGGATTTCTTCATTGTTTGCCTTTTCTCTCTCAAAGGTTAATTATTCCTCACAGTTTTTAATACATATGTAATTCTGGTGCTTTTCACTGGAATGGAAAAGAATATTCCTTGGGGTCTTGTTCTTTTCCATAACAAGTAATTGGGGCTTCTTTACTGATCAAGGCAACTCCAGTCCTAAGTTCTAACTCCAGAATATGTAGGATTCCACAATACTAAACTAGCAGATTGCTGTGAAATGTAACTTCAGTAGGATCTCCTAGAATTTAGATAATAGCTTAACACTATCTCATACATTCAAAAGCTTTTTTAAAAATTATTTTTTAGTTGTAGTTGGACACAACAACTATTCATTTTTATGTGGTGCTGAGGATCGAACCCAGGGCCTGGCATGTGCTAGGCAAGCATTCTACCACTGAGCCACAATCTCAGCCCCTCAAAAGCTTTTTGAAAAGGTCTTCAGACTACTAGAAATCACAACCCTGTGAGGATGGAGAATCTCTGGCCTTTCTGAATTTCATTATTTGAAATAGAAATCTAGTGATACATGATTTGGAAACTTGGCACATAGATACCCAATTTGAATGAATGTGTGCCTTATTATATATGCATACCAAAGCCCAGGGCCATTATTTTTATTTATTGGTGAGCCGTACTAAATTGTCTCTGGCTAATTTTTAGCTTTTGGAACAAGAATTTCTTGACAGTTATTTGAATTACGTTTGATAGCGTCAGCAAATATTCTACCTTCAGCTCTACTCCTTTCTACTCTCTCTTCCCTTTTCCCTGCCAGCTAATATATTTTGTCAGGAACAATTTGTTTTACTTGGATGTTCAACAAACCTCAGATACACAGAGAACAATACAAACACAACAGAGAAAAATACAAAAAGGGAAAATTCCTGTGAGACTTTGTTTCCTATCTTGTCTGAAGGGAGGCAGTAGTTTAGTGGTGAGGAACTTGGATTATAGCACAGTAGTTACCAGTTAGAGTTAGGGTTCAGATATGAGCTCTGCCTTGGCTAATTTTAGAAGTGACTTTGGGTTTGGAGTTCGCTGTAGAGGCCTTACCTGGACTGTGAAGTCTTGGGTTCCATCCTGCCCCACCCCATTGCCACACACACACGCACACTCTAAGGTGACCTTGATTTTTCTTTTTTCTCTTTTTTTTTCTTTTTTAGAATTTTTTATTATTCATTTTTTAGTTTTCGGTGGACACAGCATCTTTATTTTATTTTTATGTGGTGCTGAGGATCGAACCCAGCGCCCCACGCATGCCAGGCGAGGGCGCTACTGCTTGAGCCACATCCCCAGCCCCAACCTTGATTTTTCTAATCATCACTTTCTTTATCTATAAGATAGAGGTAATGAGAGATCTTACCTAATTTGTTCAGAGAATCAAATGAAATAATTATGGAAATAATCATAGTAAAATACCAAATTCAGGTTGTAAATTTTAATAATGATAAATTTGATGTTAATTATAAAAGGTTCTTTTTATAAGGTTTCATGCCTATTTAGAGTTTGTGAGTTTTGCTCTCATTCATTTTCTGTCAGACTATTTTAGATAATCAAATGGAAAATAATTTATAAACAACTGGTGTTATCTTATTTTTAGAAAAATGACTGATTTTAGAGACAGATGACCTTCAGGGATCTTTATTTTAAAGCTTTTGGTGACTGTAAGCACATTTGAGATTGAACAGAATTATTATGCTAACTTGAAGAGCTGTTTCTTCTAGAAAGTATTGGAGCAATTGAGCTTTTTTTCAGCAAGATGTCTGACAAGTAGGAAAAATATGGTGTTTATAGCACAAGTTGCCATTTTCACTCTTCATTCCTCTAGAAGTTTACAGTCCAAATATGACATACATATAAGAATCCAGACAAACGCTTAAAACATTTTATGCCTCAAAGACAAGCTTTGGAGCACTCTATTGATATTTATGAATTAGAAGCCTTAAGAATTTCACATTTGGGGCTGAGGTTGTGCCTTAGTGGTAGAGCACTTGCCTAATATGTGAGGCACTGGGTTTGATTCCCAGCACCATAAATAAATAAATGCCCATCAACAACTAAAAAAAATTTTTAAAAATTCACATTTGCTTTGTACTTTTTTAAAAAATATATTTATTTCTTAGTTATAGGTGGACACAATATCTGTATTTTATATTTATGTGGTAATGAGGATCGAACCCAGTGCCTCACACATGTTAGGCGAGCGCTGTACCTCTGAGCCACAACCCCAGCCCCTGCTTTGTACTTTTAATCTTTATATTTTTGCTGTCTATCAAACTTATATTTCAGCAGATACTTTCTTCAGCCTCCTATCTGTAACCCACATGTTAACAGGGGCTTTTATATAAATAATAAGTTTACTATTAGAATAGAAAACTAGGTGAAAAGACATACTCATATGCCAGTGGAAGAATTAAAATTCTCACATTCTCTTCTTTACCATAAATAGGAAAGGCCAGCCAGTTTGTGTAGGGTGTTAAAAATATATTCCTAATCGATCATCTTCCTTTTAGAGCAGTCATTGTCTTCAGTCATAGTACAGCCATAGAGTGATAATTAGTTAATATTTATTGAGCATTTACTATGGGACCAGGTGTTATTCCAGCCATTTAGCATGTCATAACTCATTTATTCCCCCACAGTAACTCTATGAAGTAAGTATGTTATTCCCTTGAGTGTACAAAATGTTGAACACAAGCTGAAGTTACTTGCTTAGAAATAGTGCTAGTGAGCAGCAAAGGCAGGATTCAAACCCTATCATTAGTCCTTCAGAGTTCATTCTCTGAATCATAGACTATTACTGTCTCTTATAGAGCTTTCCCAGTTCCCATTGTTCCTGTTTCCATTTTATGGTGAAAATAAAGTGAGAGAAAAATAGTGATTAGGAGAAGAGTTATATTACTAAAGTGCGTTACTACCTTTCCAATGTGTTTAAAAAAGAAAACAAAACATTGACTATAGATAAAGTTTAAGATTTTCCCTAAAGAACTTCCTCAGGCTCTGTCCCCTACCTTTAGGTATAATCACTGTATCTCCTGCCATGTCTGGTAGATCTTTCCATACACACATCTGTATAAAGAGACTATTGTAGATAAAGTTGATTCTCATTATTTAAAGTAGTTATGTTTATGAAGTCATAGGGAACATTGACTTAGTGAATGTGAAACATTGCTCCTATGGGAAATTCAGAGTTAGGTTTCTGTGAGCCTTTCTGGTCAAAATAGTCTTTTAACTGCTCAATACCTAACTTTGACTTATATGTGTTTTTGTTTAAAGTTTTCATATTATATATATATATTGTTGATTCGTTAACATTGAACTCATGGTCAGCAGCACTACAATTTGTACCTGAATGAAGTTTATCTAACACATGTATTTTCTTCACCAGGCCTTCTTACACTTAGAAACAGTAGACATCACTTCAGTACTGTACTTGGGGGGGGGGACATTTTAAACAACAAAATCATACATATTTGAAAAATGTGTCACCACATAGAGTGTGAAAGGATGTTTGAGTTTAGTATGAGACTTGAAACTTGAATATCACATACTTCACCTTAGTTAGGGATGTATATGTGGTGACTCAGATATTTTGTTGCTCTATACATGTCTACGAATGTCCACAAAAGTGTGCAACAAGTCTTGATTTGAGAGTTACAAGTAGATATTAGTGACTACATGAATTTGCATATATAGACTCTAAATCATCAAGATTGACTATATATTTCCACACATATGAATTTGTATTTGTGCTAGTTTTTGTTAATAACAAGGCATTTTGCAACATAATTTTTTTATAAAACTTAATGATGTGGATCTTCATATTCTTGTGAAGCGATACATATTCCATAATAGGGACCTGCCATAATTTACTTATTTCATCTAATGATTGTATAAATCTCAATTTTCTCATTTGTAAATAGTAAATAAAAATTAAAGAATACTTTTTAGGGTTAAATGAGAATGCATAGCACATTGCCCTGTAATTGAAGGCCTCAATAAATATGAGTTAATAAAAATAAATAGATGGGCTTTGGAATCAGGCAGACAGGGATTCACATTCTGTCTCTTTCCTTACCAGCTGTGAGACCTTATTAAATTACCGAATCTCTTTGTCTTATCTGAAAGTGGAGTTTATATGTACTTTATTATTTTTGTGACAGTTTAATATAGTCACACATGAAGTATCTAACATATAGGGTAACTTAATGTTTCCCTCTCATATCATTTGATATCACAAAAATAGTATTAACTTCACTAGACTTTGTTACAGAATTAAGGTCTTTTATTAAAAATGCAGCATACCATGTATTTTTACAAATTCACAACAAAATAAAGAAGAGAAAAACCCTAAAGTTGAATACATACAAAAACGAACCTCTTTATGAAATTAGTAACATGATTTCACAGTAGGGGAAAAAACTATTTTAGTATGGTATTTAGGCTACATACTTTGTTGGAAGTGGTACAAGCATAGTAATTCTAGAACTCTAAGTTAAGCAAATGAGTAAATATTATAGTGTTGCTGGGAGTCAGACTTTTCCTGGTCAAAGAAAGGAAATATGGGATGAGATTAAAAAGAAGAAGAATACCTGTGGAGTTTTAAAAAATGAAATTAGCAATAAAAGTATGAATTCATGATTTTGTTTAAGTATGTAAATATATAGACCTAGAAATGATGATACCATGGCAACTAGCATAACTGATCTTGGATTTCTAAATATCATTTGCTACTGAAAGAAATTAGGGCTTCTTGGAGAAAACCTGACTCCAGAGCTGTACACAGGTGAGCTCTGGTGTCTTGGTGAATCAGAAAGTAAGGAAGTGCCTCAAATTAATGAGTGTATTTCAAGAAGGCACAAAAGCCAGCCTTTAAGAACTCTCATTGGCCAAATCTGAGGGTCAAAATGATTGATGACTGTAATAACAGTGAATAAGAAAAGAATCTAAGAGTACATTTTACTAATCTAAACAAAAATAAATAAAATGGAAGGAGTAGAAGAAAAAGCACTTTATACCAGAGTGTCAGGTAACAATTGTAGAAGGAATTGTAGAATTCAAAAATTACCATCAAGAATCATTATTGAGGGCCAGGGATGTGTCTCAGATCTTGCTTAGCTTGTGTGAAGCCCTGGGTTCAATTCCAGCATCTCCATGGGGTGGTGGGGAGGCTGGCAGGGGGATAATCAGTGATTACTAAATTATTGAAGGGAATAAGATATAGATATTTTTTACAGTATCCAGCTATCTCCCCATCAAGAGTTTATTAATTTACCATTAAGTGATTATGGCAGTGAAAAATGATGGTAAGTAATTGAGCTATGCAAAAGAACAAAGGGTGATTTCAAAATTTTAAATCAGTGAAATAGGTAAAAACATACATATGATTGAAAATGTCCAGTCAGTTCAATAAAGGCTACACAAGCAAAGTAATTTAGCTACCAATCACATAGTGATAATCTGTTTATGGGAGAATAAATACTAAAGTTATCTGGAATAACAAAGACATAAAAAATAATTAAGTCAATAAAAATATCCCTTTCAAGAAAAAAAAGAGTTTATTATTTTAAAGGTAGAAAAGAACAACTTTAAACTGGAGAAATTTTGGTTCAACCACATGAAAAACAGTTAATATCATTGAGCCAGGTATAGTGGGGCATGCCTATAATCCCAGTGACTTGGAAGGTTGAAAAGAGAGATCAAAAGTTTGGGTTCAACCTGGGCAACTTAGTAAGACCCTGTCTCAAAATAAAAAATAAAAAGAACTGGGCTGTAATTCCAGTGGTTCAGGAGGCTGAGGAAAGAGGATTGCGAATTCCAAGTCAGCCTTAGCAACTTAGCGAGGCTGTAAACAACTCAGTGAGACCCTATCTCTAAATAAAATATAAAAAAAGGTCCCCAGTACCCAAAAAAAAAAAAACCCAAAAAACGGTGGGGTGTTAGTGGTGCTGGATGTAGCTCAGTGGTATAGCACCCCTGGATTTAATATTCTGTAGTGCCAAAAAATGTTGACATAGTGAATAATTGGGACAAACCTCATGCCTTCTGAGCTGACATTCTAAGGACATACAGTCTCACTTCTATAATATTCTGGCCATACTGCATAAACTGTATCTCGTCATATTGGACAACCCAGATTTAATACATTCTACTCAAGTTCTCAGAAAAATCTATCATAAAAAAAAACAAAGCACTGAGAAGCTATTTTGGATTAAAGAGACTTGAAAACTAACTGTAGCAAGTTAATCTTGGCTTAGATTTCAGATTAGTGGGGGAAATGACTATAAAAATGGTTATTTGGATATCAATGTTAAATTTCCTTAATTTAATATATAATGGATATGAAGTAGGCATTCTTGTTCCTGGCTGAAATGAGCTCAAGAAAATAAAGATGTATAACATTTATTACCAAGTAGTTCCACAGAAAGATTGAGTGGGGCATATACATACATACAGTAAGAACATATTTGGCAAAAACAACTGTGATTTAAGTGAAGGATATATATGAGTGTTCACTGTACTCTTCTTGAAACTTTCCTGTGAGTTTGAAATTTTTCAAATAAAAAATTGAAAATAAAGCAATTTGGAAAATTCAGAAAAGCATAACATAGGGGAAAAAAGATGATAATCTTACCAGGTATAAGCTATGCTAATATTTTGGAGTATTTCCTTCTATTCATTCCTATGATATCCTAGTAGGCATTGTTACAGCTTAAGTTCAGCTCAGAAAAGGAAACATTTTCCCTTCAAACTTAAGAAAAATAATAATTTTTAATTTTTTTTAAATAAAAAGAAATGTACCATTCTTAAGGCATTGTTTATTTCCTTCCAGGAAACTGGTATCCTTGACAAAGTTATGTTCTATTCCTGTTCTTGACAAGACTAAAACAGATCAAACCTAAAACTATTCTAAGTTAAATGGAAATTAGTCTGATTTGAAACAGTCTCCATGGAACCATCATAGCATATATAACTCTGTATGGCTCTAGTTTTGTTTCTGATGACACTCAACAAGGCTCACGTGTTTCAGCCATTTTAAGAATGAAAAGATTGTTTATTTTATTATTTAAATACCTCTTTGGTGTGTAAGAAATCTGAAGCAGCTGAGATCAGTATACCATCTGACTAAAAGGAGGAGGCATCCGACTGGATATTGCATTAGTTGATGTGAATTTGAAAATTAAATGTCTACTAGAGGTTAAGAGTGGGGGAGATCCTTTAGATTAACCATTTTTACCTTTTAAGATTATTGTTCACTTTCTAAATTTATGTGGATAAAAGCCTTCATCATTCTTGTAGTATGTGCTTAGTGTAGAGCCTGGTATGTAGTACCACAGTGTATGGCATGTGCTGTGTGCTAGGTACCATTCTGACTGTTACACATATATTCTTGACAAGATTAAAAATCAAAATCCCTCAGTTGTCTACATTTTTACTCAATTCTATGATAGTTCTTCCAGCTCTCAAGGTCTTAGTGATTTTAGACCACTTTCTGAAGATCCCTTTCATTGTGATTTTATCGTAAAAAATTTAATGTATCAAAAGCATTAAAAAGTCAGAAAAGAAGAGTGGAATTTCCTCAGTGGACTAGCAGAGGAAAAATCTTGCAAGGAAGAGAAATCAATATTATTTAATTACCAAAGTGCCAGTCTTTATGCTAGGTGCTTTTCATGGGAATTGCATTTAATTTGCCTAATAATCTCATGAAGTGATCAGGATTATCACAGATTCACACCTGAGGAAACAGAAGTGCTAAAAGCCAGAGAGAGGCTGGTACTGCCACACCACTGCCAGGTAGCAGAACTAAGACCACATTTAGTAGTGTCTCTGTGATTTTAAAGCCTGATTTGATTTTGCTTTTTCCAGTATACTTTGCTGCTGGTCTCAGCTAACTTTTCCATTAGGAATAGAGTTTTAAAATACAGTGGATGAATTTGTTATCTCTTCTTCACCAGGCTTTTCGGATGTGGATCACACCTATGCTCAAAGAACTCAGCTCTTTGACACCTTAGTAAATTTCTTTCCTGACAGCATGACTCCTCCTAAAGGCAACCTGGTAGATCTCATCACACTGTAACTGAAGAGTCCCCGAGCACAGAAACAGAAAACGAGAGTCTGCTTTCAGCGTTTTGGAGTGCAACTCTGTTGACTGAGGTGAAGCTGCAGTGATTAAGGACTGTGCTGGAGTTTGAAAGGGATCTTTACCATCAAAAGTTTTAACCCTCTTCCTTCATACTTGACCTCAACCCTATTCTCCTCATCTTATTTCTAAATTAGGCTAATAAAGTGAAATTGGTATACTTTCCATTTAAATATACATATTTTTCTTTAACTTTTAAGAATTAATGAATATTAAAAAAAATAGGCAGTTTACCCTTTTCAAATTTTTCTTTCTTTTTTTTTTTTTTTTAATCGGGAGATCAGCATTATTAACAGATTGAGTACTACAAGAATTTTGGGTTTTGTTGTTGGATTATTTGGTCTTTATTTCTTCTTTCTCTTCTTTCACTTTACCTCACATAGTACAACTACATGTAAATGGTGTCACTGGTTGACCTTAACAGGTATATAGTTCTGTAGAACAGTCGATGTACGTTAAGGTGACATATGTGAATATGTTGACTTGTCTAGTATTACATTAAACAGTAGACAGGATAGAGAGCTCCAGTTTGCACTTCTTGCCATAGAAACTCAAGATTGACCCAGGTATCCTATCAGAGATTGGTATATAATGTTTCTATAATGATATATTTTATAGTAGATATTATAGTAGCATTTGGCTTTAAGTCACAGAAACCTGAAACAGAAGATTATAATTGAAAAATGTTAAGAGCCATTCTAAAAATGACCAGCAAGAGAGATCCAGTGAGTAATTAATATGTTTATTCTATCTTTTTAGCAATTTTAAAAGAAAATGGCTCTTTCCTCTGGTAGAGCTATGCAGAACCAGGGCTCTCTTTTCTCCTTTGTGCTGTCTGTATGTAGAAGTTCCCTTTGGGAGTGCAGGCTTCCAGAGCTGCACTTCCATTTTTTTCCATGCATCTCCCTGCATCTACTTCTAAACCCTGGTGTTTTGAAGAGTAATAATTTTTGCTTATTCATTAGTATACAGCTAATAAGCATTTTATTAAGCACATGGATCAGGCTTTTTTAAGTGGAGAAAAGAAAAATAATGGTACGAATTAAACAGAAACAAAATCATAATAGGTGGGGTGTTCCATAGTTCCACTTTTGTGCAGGAATGGGTATATATCTTCCCATAAGAAGTTGTGGAATGTAATATGAGAAACCTACATATAGCTAGGGCTCACATTTGCTCAAAAAGTGTGCCTCATGCAACTGATACCACCATGCTGAAAGCAGACTCAATATAATGTTCATCTCAGCTGTTAAAAGAGTGGAAGACTTTGTAGAATTATGTCCCTGAGTAGAAAGATGAGGTCTCACTAGAAAAGGAAGAAATTGACCTGCACTTTCAAACAGTATCATGTATAGGAATGAGATTTTGAGATATCTTTTCACTCTCTTTATTACTTGGTTTTCCTTATTTTGGGGATGAGCAGAAGTATATTTTTGCTAGTTTTATCCTTGAATCATGGACTTTATGATTTTCAAGTGTCCCAAAAAATAATAGTGATTTATTAAACATTTAGGTCTGTACCTTTATCTTGTGAAAAGTATACTGTGTAATTCAGCAAATGCCAAATTATGTAGATACACAATAATTCATTGACTGTACAATCAAGTGAATTTATTCTAGTTAGACTTGTACAGTTTCATAAAATAGTTCCAAGTGACAGTCTGAACATAAAATATTAATATCACTAATATTATAGCACATTGAATTTGATTTTGTGGAAATAGATGCAAATTAGAAGATTAACAGAAAAGAACTTGGACTTGATAAGACTGCCAAAATTTAAAATCTCTAGTTTGGTTAGCATGAATTCTGGCACTTTAAAACATTTACCAAATGAAATTTTGCTGCCCTCCACCATTTGTTTTAACAGTGCCTTTTTTATCGTTTTTTTTTTTTTTTCCGCATCAATTCCTCAGTCTCCATATTATTTGGAGAAAATTTAGTTCTTAATTGCAGTGATTTTTGTCTTTCTTTTTTCCTAACTACATTTCTCTGGGTTTTTTTTTAATATATACCTATTTTAATTTCATGTTTTCTTATATTTAGGTGAAAATCCCCCCCCTTTTTTTTATTGTTGTTGTTACATGTTTAAATGTTGTTGAATCATAGTGAAATACTTTGTGTTGCCTAAGTGAGATAGACTTACTGAGGAGAGAACTAACTAGATAAGTTAGGATCTGTCCCTTGGAAATTTAATGGAGCACTGCCAGGACTGACTGCAGAGAACATAGGGCTTTGAATATCCACGTTCAAGATCGATACATCGTTCACCCCATTGCATATCAGAACCCTCGTTTGGAACATGTTCAGTGAAGACCGACGTACATTTCTCAAAATTCCAACATTATAATTTAAATAATCAAATTTGGTATTTAGTTGGCCAAATATGTATGCTCTATTACTTAAAAATTCTTTCACTCTAGCTTAGTACCACATTCAAACACCTGGCTGATGCTTTAGATACATTAATTGGTAGGGTACAATTTGCTTAATTTTATCCTCATTCCCAATTCTCTTTTCCCCAGTGGAATATATTATATTCAACCAAAAATAAACTAGATCTCTAATATCATTTTTAGTGCTTGTATTTTGTGAGAAATGATTTGATTTGCAAGTCACTTCTCAAATGCATTTTGTTTTGTGAAATAACAGAGACCTCACATGGACAGCTTGATTAATTCGGAGCACATCACTCTCATTCAAGCAAAGGAATTCATAATTGGGTGCCTACCTCTGTGCTGCAGTTGACAGTGTTAACCTTTATCAAAGGTATCTTTTTAGTTGTGACTGTCCATGTAAAATCTGAAAGAAAACATTAAAAAGTGAAGTCACTGGTTTGTCAGAAAATCTTGTCGGATGTAGGGCTCAGTAATTCTGTAAGCTTGAAAAGCTGCATTTGTGAGTGAAATATGTATATCGTTTATAAGTGGCTGGCAATTTGTTATTCCAGTAGATCTCTTCGCATCTGCCTTAAAAGTGTTGTCATACTCTTCAGTCTCAGTTACTTGGAGGAAGCCAGTCTGGGCAACTTAGGGAGACCCTGTGTCCAAACAAAAACAAAAACAAAAAACGTATTGGGGATATAGCTTAGTAGTAAAATGCTTCCTGGATTCAGTAATGCCAAAAAAAAGAAAGTGCTGTGTAGAGATACACATTAACAGAGTTTTGTTTAATAAAACAAGATTTTAAAATCGCTTACAAATGAAAACCAGTTTGAGACTCTTGATCATTTTGTGAGAGATTAAGAATGATGCTTAATAGGTCAAAAAGCACAAGTATTTTCCCAATTTTGTTTCCTGAGTTTTAATTTCGTGGTAATTACACAAAGATGTTAATCTGTAATTATTCTTAACACTACGTGAAATTCTTTGGTATTGGTGAGTCATTTTATTTTTCCTGAGTGAAAGTTGTGTGAAATCCTTGGCTGAATAGTGCATAACAGTTGAGGATTATGGTTTGAAGTGATTTCTCTGGGAGGAGATCATTACAATGTGTACTGTAAGTCATACAGCTATAAAATATGTACTCTCTAATGCTTCTTAATAATCCTTGTTGATCCACAGTCTCATCCCCTTTGCCAAAATTTCTGGCTAAATTTCCACCAAGTTGAAATTAGGAGGTGGTCTAGGATGTGAGGTTCCCCCAAAAAAGTCTATAGTGGGAGGAGTATCATGGAGGTCTGCATATAACAATACTGTTAGATTATCTTTGGGCTCTTTAATAATACAAAGATTTTTGTTTTCCATATTAGAGAAATAACATTATTATTTTGTGGGTTTGACTGTGGCTTATATCTCTGTATGATTTGTCTTAATGCTGATTGGCTATCCAAACCTTGTGGTCTAGCAATATGTCATTTAAGGGTCATAGTTTCCAAGTTGGTTGAAGTAACATGGAGCCAACTAGCTCAGCTGAATGACATTGCCAAAGTCACAAAGTGGGGGACTTATTATTACAGTTTGTTGATTTCTTCACCAAATGCTCTTTTTGTTTTTCTCAGACCTATTTCAGAGTTTTTATTTATTCCTGATTTTTTTAACCTTCAATTCTTCCTACTCACCAAATACTGTGAATTGTGTTTCCATTTATTTTTTCTAAGCTAATTTAACTTTTATTAACTTTTGTAGCCCTGGACTTCCTTGATATCCATGCATTGCTTAGCTTAGGACAATTGTAGTGCTTGGAAAAAACAGGTCAACATCATTTTGAGGCAGATATGTTCTGTTATCCTTGCTTATGACAAGAGAGTAGTGAAATTTTAAAATGTATATTATTAAAGAAATAACATTTTGATATTGCTATAAACATGTACGTGTCATTTTCATTGGGGAATAGTAATGGTGGCTTTGCAGGGCAGCTCTTATGGAGGAGCTATTGGTAGAGTTTAAATTTTATAAGAGAACACATGGAATTTGGCATGCCATCAGAATTTTCATTTGCCTAGTTTCTTTTTATTTTATTTCTGTCCTTTTTATCTCCGTTCCCATTTCACTTAAGTAGTTTTGATTTTCTGTTGAAGTTGGAATTTGGGTTAAGAGCTGGCATTTGACTCCTGATATAGTTGAATATTAGAAATAGCTTTAACTGCCATGAAAATGATGGGTATTCTCTTTTTCCCCCCCAAATAAAAATAACATGGCCACATAACATTTCTTCCCCTCAAGAATGTGAATTTAGATCCAGTTCCAAATGACAAATTTCCTTCTCATACAGCCAGTGATGAAATCATCTTATAGTAACTTGTATAGACCTTAACCTAAGGAGTCATTAGAGGATAGAGTAAATGAGAGAAGACCCTTCAGCATCTTGAATTGTATCCCAGGTCACTACTTAACACAAAAAAAAACAGGATGGTTCTGGTTGATCTTCTAATTAGAGTCATCATTTAGACATTCTATTTATACAATCATGTCCCCCAAACACTGTTAAACTTGCTTAAAACCAGAATTTTATGTGGTTGTTATCTGAGAACTAGAGTGTCACCGAAACATGGTGGTGGAAGAGGAGAGTGTTTGGTAGGGAAGGAAACCAGTTGTAAGAAATAACAATTATGAGATCATGTGTGTTCCTTTTCGTCTCCTGTTGAAACAGCATGAAGTGTGTGTGATGCCCTATTTTGACTAAGACATTTTGACTTTGAAGTATTGAACTTCAGAAACAGCTGAAGAGGTGAGGATATATTAGAAAAGATAATAGTAACTTCATGAGTTTGAAGTTTTGAATTTAAATAAAGCAGAAAACTCTTCGTTTTTAACTGTGAATAATTTTCATAATGTAGTACTGTGGAAAAGAATCAAAGTAATCAAAGCTTATGTGTCTAGAATATTCAGTTATTGTGACTAGTCTTTGGAAAATAACATGTCTTTGTTAGTTACTGTTCACCTCTTCTCAAGTAGTTGTTGGAGATCTTAAGATAAAACAGAAACCCCAGTGTAGACAATTCCTTGATAAGTATCCAGAGGAAAAACTAGCAGTAAAATATTTTAACATGCAGTTGTTGAGCTCCCAAAGGACTTGCTTCTTCATCTAGTTTAAGCACTTGCTGAAACATGGTTCTGGACCATCTGGGATGCTGGCATTCCCAGCAGTGAATTCAGAATTCTGAGCAGTGAATTGTGACTGCCACACAAATACCAGCTTGAGGAGATACCCTTCTTCACTTTCAGTCATGAAAGCCAGATTAATTGGCAGAAGGAGAAATACACCAATATATGGAACAATTCTGTGTGTGTGATTAAGAAGTTGCTCAAGTAGCCAATTTTGAGCTTTATTTCTTTCCTTTATTAGCATATCTCAAGAAAATCTTTCTTATAGTTAGCAAGTGTCATTAGGTTGGTATTCATTTTGTAGGCTTTTAAAATAGGAAGAAAATTGTTATCATGTATAACTTACAACCCATACAGTATTGACATGACATTAGTTTCATGCTTTAAAATGAATTAATCATATATATAATCCTAGGGGTCTCAGTTCTGCTTTGCCAAGAAATACATGAGTCCTGGATATTACAGGTATTTGATAATTTTGTTTTTTTTCTTTAGGTCTTCTCCACATCTGTAAAGTGATTGATTAGGTAGCTAGAATAAGCCCCAACTCCCTTGCAACTGGCATAACTTTACAAATTCAGTTGAATCAAAAGAGTGGATCTTAAACTATAAGCATATATTTGCAAATGACTCTTCAACATGTCGCATTGTAATTGCCGTATTTACCTTTGATTATTTGTTTGTGGTGCATGGGATCAACCCAGGATTTCTATCAGAGGATTTCTAGTTTACCTTGTGACCTCTGAGGACATAGATGGGTGGCTTTATATTTTTGAATTGCATCCTTATGAGATCCCACGGTACTTTTACCTTTGTAAAATCTTTGCTGTTTTACATACACATTAGCTATGCTCATAAAAGCACTAACTGCAAAGTTGTAAGGCATAGGAAAGTAATTGTCAGCCCAACCCCCAATTTGATAAGATATCAAGGTCTAAAATATGAGATTAAATATGAGGAGAAGTCTTCTATAGGGGAAGACTTTTTTTTTTAAGTCATGTACTTAATTTTGAGATTTTTTTTTCCTTTCCCAGAAAAAATGATTTTGGTGAGTAACCAGTTATAAGTGATCTTCTTCCTTAATTATAAAGCTTCTTTATAATTAAGGAAGGATTACCTTTCTTACCCATTACATTTAGCCTGAACAAGAGATACTTTTGATTGTATTATTCTTTAAGCTAGCCTACTTTTGTGACTTGTGTGAAATGTCTTTTGAAATTAAATTAGATTAGGAAGTATGAATTATCTTTTTTATTATTTTTTTAGTTATAGATGGAAGCAATACTTTATTTTATTTATTTATTTTTATGTGGTGCTGTGTGTTTCTTTTTAAAGATTCCTTCCCTTACCATCACTTCAAAATCTATGTAAAGTGGAGTCTTCAACCTCAAAATAATATGACAGAAAACCTCTTTGTCTTAGTCTTGGGAACATACAGTATTCCATCTTTCCAAATGACATATTTATAAACAGCTTGGGAAAGATGTTAGAAATTTTTTTAAAGTCAGCTCATTTATGAACTAGAAGTACTTAGTGGCCAGAAACTAAGATCCCTTCAGACAGAAAGAGATCTTCAAAACCCAAAGTTGGACTGGAAATTAGATTGAGAAGATGAAGCTCCACCATCACCAGGGGAATCTCATCCTTCAGGGAAACATGCTATGATAGCAAGCAGCTCATTTGACAGTTGGACTGTGTTAAATGCCATTTATGTCATTTTAAAAACATGAATTGATTTTGTGATTATAAAAATATGCTTATCATAGAAAACTGCTAATTGTAAAGAAGGAAACCCCTTGTTAATTGATGAGGCCTCTCCACTTTCTTTTCTGACTTTTTTTCCATTATGAAAAATGGCAACATCCTGAAAAGATTAAAAAAAAAAAAGTTAACAGAGCCATTCTCATAGTTTTCTACCACCTGCATGTAGGAAGGCCCAGACAGCAAGATATATCCCACCTTTACTTACCTTCCTTAAGCATTATCTTCTGGACAGTCTGAAAATAATGATGTTGATAAGTATCTTTAAGTCTGAAAAGTTCAGGTCATTGGAAATTTCACCCCTAAGACTCATTTGAATTTTTATGCTCTTTAGATATATGGAATCTGTTCAGACTATGAGGAGCCTTCTGTTTGTGATACACTTCATTACATGGCAAAAATTCAACACACACTCAAAAAGGTAGAGTTACTTTTTTGCAGAGCAAAACAAAATAAACAAAATGAACATATTTCTCTAAACATCAGCTAAGATTAACAAGTTTTCCACCTCCATAATATTTCAGATGAGATTGTATGAGAAACACCTTGTTGGGTTCTCCTCTTTCCTTTAACCCTCTCTTATGGGGTTAGACTGTATCCTCAAGTACCTGAATCAGATGGAAGGCTGGCAAGAGCTATTTGGAGAATTTAAAGAGTGCTTTTTTGGGTATCAGATGTCTTCTAACATCAATTGTTTAAACATTGTTGGGTTATATTATATTCTATGGTCTTCCCTATCCCTTTCTGGTTTGCCTTTTATCCAATTCATGTGGATATTTTGGGATTTTTTTTTTTAAGTACAGGTAATTTTCTAATCCCAGGTTTGGTACATATGTTATCACTACTTTGTGAGTAAATATGAATGATCTGCTGAACAATTGCAATTGTAGAATTATGTTGTATGTAATGTACATATGGAGAAAGAATGTATTTTGTTCATTTTCTTAATAAAAAGTTATATATGGACACCACAAGATGTCTTATGTTTGCCAAAATTACTTTGAAGTCAACTTTTAAAAGGTGCTTTATTCAGTTTTCCAGAAATGGAAAATGATACAGTATAGAAGGGCCTTTGGGTGTTTGTCCTTAGAGACTGCTCAAACAAAAAAATATTGGCTGAGTTCACAGAGTTTCTGGGAGATGGTTCCATTTAAAAAACAAACTCTGGTGAAGCCGGACACCATAGTGCACACCTGAAATCTCAGCAACTTGGGAGGCTAAGACAGAAGGATCGCAAGTTCAAATCCAGCCTCAGCAATTTAGCAAGGCTCTAAGCAACTTAGACCCAATCTCAAAATAAAATAAAATAAAAATTTTTATTAGTTACACATGACCATACAATGATCTTGACAATTCATACTCAAAATAAAATTTTTAAAAAAGGGCTCAGGATGTGACTCAGTAATTAAGCACCTCTGGGTTCAATCCTTGGCACCAAAAAAAACTGGTGGAGCAGAGTGTGGTATACACCCCTGATTTTGGTGACAAGAGCTGGTGAGATAGCTCATGGTGAAGCACACCAGCAGCAATAAAGTAAAGGATCTAGCAAATTATTTGTTTGTCTATTTATTTGGTTTTTTTTGTTTTGTTTTTGGTACTGGGGATTGAACTCAGGAACCACTGAGCCACATCCCCAGTCCTATTTGTATTTTAGAGACAGGCTCTCACTGAGTTGCTTAGCGCCTCGCTTTTGCTGAGGCTGGCTTTGGCAGTCCTCCTGTCTCAGCCTCCCCCACGGCTGGGATTACAGGCATGTACCACACCTGTCTTCATTTCTTGTTGTTGTTTTTAACCACAAACATTTTTCTGTGTTTGTCTGTTTTGTGAATTTGAACTTGTTTCCCAAGTCTTAAGGAGTCATGCTTATACCAATTAGGAACTAAGAGAAAAAACTGGACTGAAACAGAAAATTGTAGAAAAAAATAGTAAAGAGAGAGAACCTACAAGTGTTGCTGAATTTGAAAAAAATTAACTCAGAAATATGCCAAATAAAGGCCCTAGGTTGTCTGGGTTGAGTTGTGTGAGCTCTCCATATGGCCTCAGAATAACAGAGAGGTCTCAGCCTTTGTCATCTCCTGTCTGGCTCTGTGGTCCTACATTCTGGAGTTGTCAGCTATTCACCCCATGGGGATTATGTTTTCTCAACTTACAAATCAAGCCATATCTTACTGCATAGCTTTCATTTCTAGGGTGTGCTTTAAGTGTGGCTCAGAAGTCACATTTCTTTGTGTTCTAAAAACAGGAAAACATGAGGTGCTGTGATAAGGTAAGGAATTGACCTTTCCTTGGTTAATTCTCCAAAGAATTAACACAAAGGGGTCAAACTGTAAGACACCACCCCTGACATCTGTCACTATCTTCTAGTGGGAAAACAGCAGTGAGCAAAGACTTGGTGCTGAACACCATTGAGGTGTCAGCTGTACCAGTCCGGTGAGCATGCAGTTGCTGTTTTGAGCCCTATATGCACATACTTAACTCCCGCCTTCCTTTGCCTGTTGCATGTCTGAGGCAGAAGGAAGAGTGGAGCTTTTTGTCACAGGGAAGAGGACAGCAGAGCAGGGTGCTTTGAGTTAAGCTGCTGTGAGCTTTTCTGATGTCTGCAGTGGACCTTCCTGCTAGGTTTCTGACCCAGGAAAAGCAAGGGGAGTCAGATAAATGGCCTTGCCAGAAATATTTTCCTTACATGGGGGAGAGAAGAACGAGGTAAAAAATGGCTTGGCTAGGGAAGTTTGATGATCGGCAAAACTCAAAATGGGAGCTGAGGACACTTGGCTGTATTTGTAGCACTACCCTCTGAACTTGGCCAATAGGATGGGCAGTCGAGGAGCCAGGAATCCTGTTTACCTCCACATCCACCACCAACCTCCAGGTAGCCTTAGAAGTCTCAACTTGGTTAAGTAAATATTGGCAGCAGATGGTCTTTGCTAGGGTTCCATTGATTTTTGCTTATCCATAAATTGCCAAGGTCTTTGAAAAATACTCCGTATTTATCACAAGTATTCTCACTTACAGTAGCCAGACCTATTCTTCATCTATTTTTCTCCGGCAGCAGGGGCTGGGAGGGTATGCAAGACATAAGTGAGTGGTTTGGGAGGGAACTTACAGAACAGGGAGGTTGTAAATGGCAAAAGAGGCATACCATTGAAATGCCAACTGAGAGCACCTCTTGGTAGGCAGGGAGCAGTGTCAGTGCCCTATTCAGGAAGAATGGAGTCTTAGAAGAATTTGTGGCCTTTGATAAACTCTGAGTCACTCAGATCAGTGTGCCCGTGATCAGGGCCAGGGACCTGCAGGAAGTCCTGGCATTTGGACTCCTTCCAGTATCCTTGGCACATTCGTGAAGTTAACCTCAAAATACCCAGGCCCAACTCTGACCCACCCCTTCAGGGTGGTGTGACCTTATAGAATTACCAAATGAAAGGAAAATCCTGTTAACAGATACTACATTCTAGAAATAAACTGTTGGAAGTCAAGTGTGAATGCTGTTAAGAATATAGGCCTGAAGAGAGAAAAGATGTAGTCTAGGCCTAAGACTAACATTTAAATGGCTGTGTAAATCTCTGCACTTCATTTCCTTAAGTGGTGCCAGCTCCCTAGACACTACGTTAAAATGTTCTGTAAACTGAATGGTGGAGGCAAACGGACCAAATCTATCTGCCACGTTCTATAAACTGGGAATGATGAAGCCCTGAGCTAACGTGCAGCTGTAGCACTACCACCCTTGGAGATGAAAAGAATCAGAATCATCTGAGGCCTTCCCTGAACCTCCTCCTTCACTGTGTACCTGCAGATCAGACAGAAGTCTCTCCTGACAAGTAAGCAGATCCTCTAAGGGGCAGAAATAGGGCCCGAACAGAGTTGGTTGTTTTTTATACTTATATTTGTGTTCTTCTCTTGGCCAGTTTTTCATACCTGATCAGGGCTCAGCAACCCACATGGGATCTTCCCTGGTGGTTACTCAGCTGTACCCAAAGCATAAGCATCAGGGAGGGAGGGAAACAACAGTGCCTGAGAGAAAATGACATCCTCTTAAGGATCCACAGGGTGGCCTGAGGTKGAGTGGAGAACTCGCCACCTCTAGGATGCCCTCCTTCCTCCCTACTTCATCCCACTCCCCTCCTGCACCCACAYAGATCAGTGTCACTGGTCAGTGTCACTAAGAGCAGGGGAGTTTTTTTCCGTGATGAGACAGCTCAGTTAAAGAATTTAAGTTAAGCAAAATACCAGGGCTTGAACCAGCTTACAGAAAAGCATTTTAATTGACAGTGTACAATTTCTCAAAATATATTTTTGTAAGAAAATGCAATAATTAACTATAGTCTTTACAAACAAGTTTCTCAGTAAATTCCAGTGTACATCAGACCCCTGTCCACTAAGACACATGCTCCCCCAGTCTCCTGGGCAAAYTATTTTTAACATTCACTAATAAAAACAAAACCCCATGAAATAGTAATCCCCTGCTTTCCCTGGGTGTTGGGAATCAGCGCAACATTGTTCCCTTTGATCCTCATCTACTAGTAGGTTTCCTAAGGGAGAGCTCACATAACACGGTTTCTTGGCAGAAAGRATTGTTCATTTACATCTTAGACCTATATGACGTAGTGACATAAAATAGGAACATCACTAGACTGTTAAAACTGCTGTCACTCTGCATCTCTGGCCTTGTTAGGGTAGTTTGGGGGAAGAAATGGTGTCGTGTCTATGTCAACCTGCCTGCAAGTGGCAGTCCTTAGTTCCCGGATTTCTTTGGAGGCACACAGCATGGGACCATCAATGGATCCAGGCTTTAATCCTGTTTCTGTCGCTTTACCTATGTGGGCTTCAGGTTTATCTGTGGAAAAAGACTGGAAGAGATCTCTACATCTCTGTCCCTGTGACCAGAGTATCACTCTTCATCTAGTGCACCTGACCCTAGCCCTTACTGGGATGGGACTGACACTTGGTGGGAGAAGAGATCATATTTTAAAATGAAAATGCCCAATCTGCAAGACAAATATTTTGTCCCCAGCCTGTCTTATTGAATCTTTTTGTTGTTGTTGTTAAAAAAGAAATCAAAAACTTGCCATTTCTAGTAAGGTAAACATTTACATTCTTGTTCAGAGAAAAAAAAAAAAAAAGCCTTGCCATCTCCCTTAGCTAATGGATTTATTTCAAAGTGTATTTACTTAAAAGCAGTGCAGGGTAGATTAATATGGCTGTTGTATTTACACTGTCAAAAATATGTATATCTATATATCAGTTTGAACTTATTCTTCAAAGTTTCTCCAGTATGTCGTCCAAAAAAAAAAAAAAAAAAAAGGTAAAGCTCAAAAATGGTTTAAATAAATCTTGTGATAGTTTTTCTTACTAAGCAGTGGGCATGCCCAGTGTCTGCTAGATTAAACCCGGACTCCGCCTTCCAGTGCATATTTGTCTGTACGTTATACTCTCCCACTCACAATGCAGCATGCTGCCCACTGAATTTCATCCAATCAAAATCTCCAGATCTGTGGTTTTTGTAACTTGGGGAATTATCAGATTCACGGTTTTTGCAGCATGGGGAAACAGTGGTTTGCCACTGAAATGGAGTTCTTAAATTCTCTTTGGTACAACTGGTTCAGAGTCTTGCTAAGCCTCTGGTGTTGYCATTATCTCTTCTTGGTCCCAGAATCTGAATTATCAGACAGCACTCGGACTCAGGCATGTGGGAAGATGAGTTTTACACTTGCTGGTGGCATGGCCTGTTGATATAGAGGTCCTAGCAGCAAGAGCGAGCCAACGCCAGGTGTCAGATCCAAWGTGCCACTAAAAGCACAATTTGGATGCACAAGAAGAAGGAACCTCTCAGTCAGCCCAATGCTTCCCCAGGTTCTCCCTGGATAAAGCTGTGTTCACTGCCCCTGACCAGGCATGGTTTCTGCTCTCTAGTCTTCACAGTCGTCATCTCTAAGAGGTCCTGGGGCTGCATCCTTTGATCATTTGCAGAAGCAATATTTGCTGTCTGTCAAAAGCCCTTGCCAGTGAATGTGACCCAGAATCAGCAAAAGRGCAATAATCCACTCTGGCCTCTCACAGGCCATGACAGAAACCCACTGGACAGACAGAACCCTGGGCAGAAAGGAAGCAAACAGACCTCTCTCCATTGTCCCAACATTCCCTCTCTTTCTCCTCAAATTGGCACTGTTCCCCATCCTGCCCACCTCCAAATACTAGTGACAGAAGAGCAGAGCAGATGCATTTGGATACTGGTAACCTAGCATCTCTCKAGCTCTTGGAACACTTCCTRGGTACAATCCATGATCACCTGGACTTCCCTGTTCCCTAGGATATTTAATGACTACAGGCCTCAGAGCAGGACGCAGGGAGCTAGGAAAGGATAGACCTTTCCCCTTTGTCCCCCWTCTATTCTGTTTAAAATAAACTGTTCCAATGCAGATAGCTGGTTCCAGGGAATTTATGCCCAGGAACATACAGGCCATGGCCAGAGTTCAAAAACTCCATGCAGGAGYTCCCCTCTCAGAAAACCAGATGAAGCCTCACTATGCCCCATCCTCAGATGCCTTCTACAAGACAGCTAACTGCTGAGCCTAGAAAACCCTGTGCTGTGGAACAGACATGGCTTTGTGTTTCCCTGAGATGCCACCAGAAACAGAACTGCAGTAGCCCCACCAGCAACACAGGGGAGAGGAAACAGCGAGGCCTAGCTCCATGCCAGAAGAGTGGGAAGTCAGGCACCTTAGAGTGCACTCATGTCCTGGCTTTTCTCTCTCTCTCTGGAGAATCAGAATCCATGAGGTGAGCTAAGAGTCTCCAATAGCTGAAGCTTTGGCCTTTGACAGTGGAGTGCTGAATTTAAAAAAACAAATACAACAAAACTCTCAGCAACTTGAAAAGTCCCTGAGTATCCTGTGAAACAAGTAACACCTGTCTGCCAGCAGTTTGATGAATCGATTGTCTGTTCAGGCACACCTCTGCTGATCGGGGTGGGGGTGGGAGGCCTGCACAGATCTGTCTTACCACTATTGCTCTTTCTGGCTGGGCCTTGCGGGATTCATCCATTGGCTGAGCAGTGACCAAAAAGAAACATCTTACTTTCTGTGGCTACTGCAGATTTTAATCCCTGGTGGGAGCAGAAGGCCAAAGGAGATCTTGGAGAGTGTCCATTTTCAAGGGGTGCTTGGGTAATGGGCCAGTGTCATTTCTGAGCCCTGAATCARCTGCCATGAGGAGGCAACCCTGGGACGAAGAGCTCCTCTCTTCACCTGCCCACTGTTCCCTTGAGTGGGCCTCAAGCACACTGGGAGGCCTCTGCATCATTAAATGGATGCAAAGAAATCAGAATCCAGGAAAAGAGGTTCAAGGTGATGAATGACCTGTGCTGATCCCTGGTGCCCTGGGGCAGAGTGGGACTGAAAACTGAGTGAAAAGGGGTGAGAGGAGGGGAGGGAGAAGAGTATTGGCAGGTGAAGCTGGAGTCAGAGATGGAAACACGGRACCTGTCCTTATAATCAGATCCCACTGAAAAGGGTACAGGCCAGCTCGCCTCCCTAGCCCCCTACTATCGGGAGTGTTCCCCTWCCCAGGGCTGCTCTGGAGAGAGGGCACAAGTGAAGAGCAGTGTGCTTGGTACAGATGAGCCCTGGAGTGAAGGGAGGAATCTGTCACCAAGTAACTGTGACCTTGTGCAAGTCGCCTGCCCTCTTCAATCCTTAGTTATCTCACTTGGGAAATGAGGRGATTGTTCTAGAGTCTGAGATCCTTTCCATGACTCTTCGTCCATCTCCCTTCTCATCCTCCAGCAGCGATGAGCTCAGGCACTAGTGGGTYACTTTACAAGAGGGATCTAGACAACAGGATATGATCGGCTTGAAAAGGGAAAAATTAAGGCCCTGTGGGGATTGGGAGGTAGCAACCCTTGAAGTCCACTCTTCCTCCCCCAGTCTTTCCCTCCTCAAACGGAGGAATYTTCCCCCTCTGTCCAAATGGCACTTCAGGTGGTCAGTCTGGAGCCTGTGGCACTGTCGAGGCACCAGCAGACCCGGTTAGAGATGTGTGTCTTCCTCATCTAGGTCATCCTTGGTCAGGTTGTCCAGAGGGACAATCCAGCTGTCCCCCAGCTCCCCATTAAGGTTCACCACCTTCTTCTCCTGCATCTCGGAGGAGGTCTCCATCAYTTCCAAGGTTGGGTTGTCATGGTAACCATTCTCCACTGTCTGTAGCTCCTCTGTGAGTCGTTGCTAGCGTGGGGAAGATGACCCAGGGAGAAAGAGTAATTTTGGAAGGTTATAACCCTTAAGTTTTTCTTTCTTTCTTTTTTTTATTTTTCCTTTGCAATATTGGAGATCAAACCCAAGACTTCAAGCGTGCTAAGCAAATACTCTATCACTGAGTTACTCCCCATTCCTTTTTATTTTATTTTGAGACAAGGTCTCAGTTGGTTGCCAGGACAGAGTTCAAACTTGCAATCCTGCCTCAGCCTCCCCCGTAGATGGGATCACAGGTGGCACACGGTGCCTGGCTTAACATAGTGTTAACATGTGCTACCTCCTTCAACGCCGGGAACCCAATTTGACTAAAGCAAGCACTCTGCTCACATGTAGGTGCTGGCTGTCCAGGAAGCCACCCTGGCTACAGGCCTGCCTCATACCCTAAAATTCCCCAATGGTTTCACCTTCATCCCGTGGGCAAGTCTGAATCGCTGATGTCAGCGAACATGGACCTTGTTCTCCAGGACCTTCTAAGTATTTTCGTCTCTCCTCCATTACTTTCCCTCAAAACCTCTCCAAACACCCACATTACCCCTAGTCGTGGATGGAGCAGTACTATGAGAAAATGACCTCCCTTCAGGCCAGGTGACCAAGGACCTCTCTCCAAGCCTGGACAAGACAGGTAGGGCAGTCACCATGGGCATCCCTGCGGCAACAATGGGACAATCCCGTCCCCCCTCTCTCTCAGATTTGGCTGACTGTATGTTAGAATCACCTGGGCAGCTCCGAACACACACTGACCCAGAGATTGGGTTTCAGGTGGAGCATGAGGAAGCTAGGCATGAAAATTTTCCCAAACCTCCTTCAAGGGGCACTCGGGGTTGGGGGGAGCCACAAATCTGGGTGGAACTGAAAGATAAGAGTTTAGCAGTTGAGAGAAGTTTGGAGAGACAGCACACACAGGGCCATTTATTTCAACCCCCAGAACAGCTCTGCAAGATGGAAACTGTCTCTACTGTGTGGGAACAGCTGAAGCTCCAAGAGGTTATATGATGGACTCAAGGTCACACCAAGAACAGGGCTTCAACCTAATCTTTTTCTTCAAAAGTCCTGCTCTTGCCTCAGGCCATGGTGCCTCCTCAGCAGCTGGCGGCTGCCTAGGCCGTGCTCTGCCTGCCTGAAGGGTCCAAGGCCACTCACTGTCCCCTGCTGGACTACAGGATTGATAAGCCGAGAGCTCGTCTGGTGACGGGACTGCTTCCCTAGTCAGAGGAGGGATGTGCTCACCTGATCCTTCCTCTGGGAGAGTCGCTGGTGGCAGCAGCCATAGAGAGCCGCAACGAGGAGCAGGAAGGATGCCATGCAGACGATGGTGATGATCAGTGGCATGCTGAAGCGGTCTTCAGTCTCCTCTGGCGGTCCTTCATCCCCCAGCTGCATGTGGCTGACTCCCACCTGGCCAGGTAGGAGACATCATGTGGCAGAGAACAGTCTCCGCTCCCCGCTCCCCCAACCCCCCGGGATGGAGAGCTCTTCCATCTGCTGCAGAAGCTTGCACGGGCAACAGGCCTGCCACACTGGAGGGGTCGCTGGACTTGAGAGAGAGGCTGCATACAGAACAGCCCACCTACCTCTCTTAGGTCATCCCACTTGTCCTTCAGCAGGGTGTACACATTCTCAGGAAGGAGATTTGCTGTAGGAGAGAGGGGAGGTGCTGCCTCAGAGCCATGTGGTGGCAAGGGAGAGGAAGCCCAAGACAAAGGGTGTTCTGCATGGCCCAGCCTCTTGGGTGGCCCTGAGAGGATGCGTGGCTTGAGAGTTCCTAGCGGCACCACCCTGACCCACACTCCAAGCAGCTCCTGGACCGTCACCTCCCATTCTGTTCCCACCCACACAGGCCTAGGCCCTCTTGCCTTCAACTCACTTTGAATAGTGATTTTTTTGAGGGCCACCGCCTGGCTTTCCTGAATGGGAGCCAGCTGTACTGTACACGAATCCTGAGCCGGGTTGAAGGTGGCYTTGACTGCTTGGCACAGCTGTGTGATCAATTTGTTATCCGCTGGAGGGCTCTTTGCCTGTTGTAAGGAGAACACAGGCATTGCAGGGGGGTGTGACAACAGTCTAGGCTTGTGGGGCTGCCCTCTGCCATCCTGCTTAACCCGCGTCCCTCTCCATGCTCCACCAGTGCATTCCAAGCCCTGCCAGGAGTCGGTCTATATTCTTCAGCGCCTGGCTTCTCTGCCCCGAGTCTCCTCAGACTGTGGGCACAACAGGGCCTATCTCCTCCATGTTCTTTGAGACTCGGGAATCAGTGCCCTGTACTGTGGGCAGGGGAACACAGCACAGCACCCCACCACCGGCAGCAGGGGCTCCAGTGCTCTCTGAACTTGTCATTTGCCAGCCTCTCCTGCCCCTTTTGAAGACGGCAGGAGTGGAAGACCTCAGCTCTGGACTCAAGGTGGTCTAGTCCCAGAATGATGCACCTGTGTCTCGGACTGAGGCAGTGAACAGGCTGATGGGGAAGGCGAGGAGCCACTGAATGTGTGCAGAGAACATGGAGAAGCAGAGAGTACATGGCAACGTGGCTTCAGGGCTCCGGGTGAGGAATACAGTGCAGGGAGGTCATCAGGGATCCCCTAGCTGATGTTTCTCTGACCTGCGTCAAGACCTCCATAAGCTACCCCTGGAGGTTAAAGCTCTGATGGTCAAATATATACTTCTGTAAGGTTTACCTAGAAAAGCCAGCAAAATGGATGCCCAAGAAAAAGCACAATGGCAGAAAAGCTCTCCAACCTGTAGAAACCAAATCCTGTTCTAGTTCCTAGAGTGGGTGCAAAAATAGGCACTGGCCAGGAGAGGGCAGCAGTGAGGCAGCCACCACCTGCACTCACAGGGCTCAACAGCTGTTCACTGAGCAACAGAACATCCCCAGCTCAAGTCCTTGGTCGCCCTCTTGCTCATACAGTGTCCACACATCACTCAGAATAGAACAACTACAGGCAGGGGCTCCCTTATGTTCTGTACCAGGACCCTTTTATCTCCCGCCCACCCCCCAACTCTTTGGGTTTGAAGAAGGAGACTCTCCCTAATGGCTTGCCACCACTGAGGCTCTCAAAAAACACATGGACCAGGAAACAAAGCCACTCTGAGAACAAGGGAAGTGAGGCCGACTTAAATTCCCATTTCCAAACAGACCAACTGTCCGAAGTCACACCCAGAGCTAGAAGCAAAGGGCAACCAGGATCGCACTGTGAGTAAGCACCAGTGAAAGGGAGGAGACTTGGGAACTTGTTCTGGCCTGTGGCAGTCCTATCTGTGTGACCTCAGAGAAGTCTGAACCTTAGTTTGTTGCTCTGTAAGACGGCAAGGGGCAGATCCCTAGGTGAACACACCACCTGGCCCATTCTAGACGGAGCACTTTGGTCCCCTCTGCTTCCTTTCCCCTGCCAGCCTGCAGGCTGTGGAGGGCTGATGAGCAGTACTCACACAGGGGCTGGTTTCCGTGAGGTTCAGGATGAGCAGCTTCTTATCCAGYCTTTCAGGAGGCATGCAGTCTACCTGGAAGAAGCCATGAGAGGAAGGGTCAGGCCCAAAGATCCAAGGATCCTGTTCTCCATCCCATGGGTGGTAATCAGTTCGTGGCATGGCTGGGCCAGTTTAAAGTCAGGAATGTCTTTGAAAGCCTTAGGAAAAACCAGGGGAGATGGGGCAAATGGACAGTATTCCTCATTTTGCTCCTGGCTGGAGCGAAAATAGAAATAGCTTTTCTTGGAGCATGGGTTCTCTTTTTGTCCCACCTTGCTGGAATTACCTTGGGTTTCCCAGGAGCCAGGGTGGAAGAGGTTGTGCTGAGGCCTTGGGGGGCAGTTGAAGCCGAACGAGTGCTGGRGTGGGTGTCTCCCCCAACAGTAGATGTGGCCCCAGTTCTTGACCAAGGACTGGACGAAGAGCTCTCAAGCGGAGATGTCATGGAGGAAGACGGGGTGGGCTTGGGTGGCATCTGGCTGGAGGTCTGCCGAGTTCCTTCTGGGGTGCATGGTGGGTGTTCCTTCTTGGGTGCTATGGTGGAGTCTGAAGAGGCTAGAAGAATAAAAGAGCAGAGAAAAGTCCAGTCTTTTCTGGTTCCAGTGTGCAGAGGCAGGGGGATGAAGTGGTGTCCTGTACTATTTGACAGGACAGTCACACTGGACAAGCTAGTTTAAGAGCTAAGTCAAAGAGGTCCAGGAGGACTCAGTGATTTTCCCAAGGTCATGTGGCAGCAGGTGGCACAGCAGGGAGCTGCATTTATCCAACTCAGAGCCTCTCTCCATAGGAGAGGGCCACCCTCGCCCAGTGTGATGGGCTGTTTCAAGATGTATCTATGTTGCCTGGGAGTGCCTGGATCTCCAGATTCTTCAGTCACTAGCAGAAGTTCCAATTCAGCAGATCCCAGATGGGTCAGGATTTTGAGGCTCATGATCCATCTGTAGATTTTTCTCCTGCCTCAATTTATCTATTGATTTATTTATTTTTATGGTACTGGGAATTGAACCCAGAAGCACGCTACCACTTAACTACAACCCCAGTCCTTTTTAATTTAGAGACAGAGTGTTGCTAAGTTGTTGAGGGTATCACTAAGTTGCTATGGCCAGCTTCAAATTTGCAATCCTTCTGCCTCAGTTTCCCAAAATAGCTCACCCAGCTCCATCACTAGATTTTGAAATTATTTTACTAGGTTAAGATGAGCACTTGAGAAATCAGTTAATAAAAGGAAAAGGAAATGGAACAGATTTGAAAATATCAGCTTATATAAAAAGTCCTATATAGTGAAATTTGTTTCATTTATATGCATTATATGTTGTTTTTTTATTTATTATTTTTGGGGCGGCAGGTACCAGGGATTGAACTCGGGAGCACTCGGCCACCGAGTCACATCCCCCAGCCCTATTTCTTCTTTATATTTATTTGTTAGTTGTAGTTGGACACAATACCTTTATTTTATTTATCTATTTTTATGTGGATCAAGCCCAGGGCCTTGCATGTGCTAGGGAAGCACTCTACCACTGAGCCACAACCCCAGCTCCCCCAGCCCTATTTTGTATTTTTTTTTAATACTTTTTAGTTGTAAGGTGAACATAATACCTTTGTTTTATTTATTTTTTTATGTGGTGCTGAGGTTTGAACCCGGTGCCTCACATGTGCAAGACAAGCACTCTACCACTGAACTACAAGCCTCCTTTTTTGTATTTTATTTAGAGACAGGGTCTCACAAAACTTCTTAGTGTCTCACTGTTGCTGAGGCTGGCCTTGAACTCAGATCCTCAGGCCTCAGCCTCCCAAGGCACTGGGATTATAGGCGTGTGCCACCACACCCGGCTATATGTGTTTTTTTTAGACCCTGATGTATTAAAGTGTGTTTCTTATGATGGGTTGTCATCGAACAAGTCTGAGGAGCACCATTCTAGAATATTCTAACACCCTGCTGCCACCACCACAGCGCAGTCTTGCCTGTGTGTAGACGGTTGGCGTGTTTACCCTGGGCAGGCCAAAACCCTCAAATGTTGGCCTTGCTCCTCAGAAATGGGAAACCAGCTCTGAGTGAAGGAGTGTCCTCATGTTCATGACCCTCCCAGCGAGAAACTGTGTAGAGGAAAAAAAGCACAGAAAAGTTTCTTTTTGCTTGAAAAACAGTAACAAGTCGAGGCCCTACTTACTTTGGGTGGTGGGCAACACCTTGGATGTGGGGCCGCTAGTGCCAGGCGCAGGGCTTGAACCACTGGGGATGGAGAAAAGGCTGTGTTGTCCACTGGTGGAGCTCTCTGGGGTCTTCACAGTGGCAGCGGTTGAATGGTGAGAGCCTGGGCTGCCAGGTGAACCCCCAGGAGGAGGAGAGCTCAGCACCTCTGTTCTATTAGTGGCTGGGGTGGCTGTGGAAACGTGGCTACTACTGCTGTATCCAGGGGCAGTTGTTCCTTTGTCCGTGCTCTGGAAGGTTGCTTTTACAGCGTTGGTTAAAGTAGGAGAGGAAGGCGTAGTACTACCACTCTTTGTGACACTGGTGGTTATAGAGACTGTAGTCGCCGCAGGGGTGCTTGGCTGAGTCGGGCTCAAGGACCCCCCTCGGGATGTGGATGCCAAAGAGCCAGCCAACTTGGTGGATGTCGCTGGGTCTGAAGTGGTTCCTGAAGTTTGGGGCTTCGTGCTTGAGACTGTGCTAGTTTTTACTGTGGTAGCCGGGGCTGCTGCTGGCGAGCCGTCCTTACCTGCTGCTGACAAAATAACACAGATCAAGACAGGGATCAGAGGGAGGTTTTTCTCTCTGCCGTCCTCTACCTCTGCCCTGGGATTCAGCGGCCTTGCTCCTATCCTGCCATTTGCCTTGCTGGGTCCGTCATGAGTCCAGAGTTTTCTGGAATTCGAGAAACTTCTAGCAGGCATATTAGAGTGAAGCAGGGGAAGGAAAAGGAAGTTCCCCAGAAGAGAAGGAAGCCAGCGGGACGGGGCGGCTGCACGCTGAGCTAATGTCCCGCCCTCCCCACCTGGGTCAACAGCTCTGCCCCCTAGCACCAAACGCAAGGTCCCACAGAAGATTCCAGACTGATGCTTCCTGAACTGCCCTGGCCCCGTTGCAACTATCCCAGGTTAGTCCCAACCTAGGAGAAACTGATGACCACGGGAGTCACACAAAGGATCCTTTCCATGCAGCTGTGGCCTGTGCCAAGGAAGAAGAGTGCAGAGTCTTGGGCTGTGTCCATCATGGCGGCTTGACCTCAAGTGGAAGGGGGTCAGGAAGGAAGGCCTTTTATTGGCTGATTTCATAAAATATTTATGGAGGGTACTGTGATCTGATGGGTCCTGTGTTGGTGAGAAAGCACCCACACCCACAGGGAGGTGACAGGCAGAACAAAAAAGTCAGATTCTGGTCACTACAGGAGGGATGTGACCAGTACAGAAAAGGGGTGTGGACAGGCGAAGAAAGGGGGCCCTAAGGTGACCATTATTAAGCCAAGACCTGAAGGATCCAAGGAGAATGTTGTGTGGAAAGTGGGAGGACAAGTGTCTCTGATAGAGGGAAAGGGGCCAAGGGGACGGGTGCACACACGCAGCTCAGAGGCGAGGGTCAAGGGGACCTCACAAATGCAGGGCTCGTGTCTGAATTTTTGCAGTGCTAGGGAGTGAACTCAGCGGCACTTTACCACCGAGCTTCATCTCCAGCCCTCTGAAATTTTTGCGACAGGGCCTCGCTCAGTTACCAAAGTTGGCCTTGAACTTGTGATCCTCCTGCCTCCGCCTCAAGTTACTAGGGTTATGGGAGTGCACCTCCATCCCCAGCTTAAACCAGACATTCTATTTTTTTTTCTAGTTGTAAATGGACATAATACCTTCATTTTATTTGTTTTTATTTTATGTGGTGCCAGGGCCTCACGCATGCTAGGCAAGTGCTCTGCCACTGAGCCACAACCCCAGCCCCTAAACCAGACATTTCTGAGAGTATAAGAAGGTGCTCTTAAAAACCGTCCCCTTGGTAAAATGAAACCTAAGCTCAGAGGTCCAAATAAGGATCTTTGGATTTTATTCTGTGTAAAGATGCTGTGGAAGGTGTTAAGGCAAGGAAGGTGCACAGGTGAGACACAGGCTTTGCTCAGAGCTGCTCTCCGGCGGTCCTGCAGAGGAAATGGATCAAGTCAGACAGGAGGGACTGTGACTGTTCGAGGAGATCGGCTGCTTGCTGCTGCACCAAGTGAGAGGAAGGAGAGAATCTGGGGCGAGCAGAAGGGAGGGCCTGGTGGGAAGGGAGGTCATGGACCTGAGCTGCTCCCTGGAACCAGTTGGCACCCATACCATTTGCCTCTGCTTGGGCACTTCCCCACCCGAGTGCCTCCTCTCTCAGGCTGAAAACACCAGATACCTGCGTCTCCAGCCCCCCAGGGACAAGCACAAGCATGTCTCAGCAACTCACGGTTGGGTCCTCTATTGCCAGCTAGGGAGGGAAGAGACCACAGACCAGGAGGAACTCTGGTGGCACACACTCACTTTGCTACTGAGAGGCAGAAGTTTCTCAGGAGCCCCTAGAGGGGCCCAAGGCAGTCACAATTCTAAGTAACAGGGCTCTACCCGGTATCCTAAGGCATCTTGTGCATGAGAAGTCCAAGAAGTGGCTTTGGTGGGACTGGGTGTATCTGCCACAGACGAATGAAAGGCCCATTTACCAGGATGCATGTTAAAAATCAATGTAAGCTTGGCACAGGGGCACACATCTATAATCCCAGCAACTCGGGAAGCTGAGGCAGGACGATCCCATGTTTGAGGCCAGCCTCAACAACTTAGTGAGACCCTCAGCAATTTAACCAGACCCTGTCTCAAAATAAAAAATAGAAACAACTAGTTCGGTGGTAAAGTACCCTGGGTTCAATCTCCAGTACTTGTTGGTGGCTAAGGGGTTGGGAGGGGTTCAAGGTGAAGCTCTGGTTTGACAAGGGTCTCCCCTTCTTACAGTTCATAAAATATTGTGCTTCTTATCATTGATGGTGTCTTTTGTCAAAAGATACTATGAGAGGTATCAGCACAGTTAGGGCATCGTGGAGTGGGATGGTCACTTCTTCCTGTGGTAAACTGCTGAAAACTATTGACATTTTGCACTGGATTCTTCTTTGCCGTGGAAGTCCCATGCATTAGAGGACATTTAGCGACCTCACTGGCCTCTGTCCAGCAGATGCAAGTAACACACACATACCCTTCTCCAGCTGTGACAACTAAAAATGTCTCCAGATATTGCTAAAAGTCCCCTGGGGGAATAAAAAAAAACACTACTCCATTAAAACTACTAGTATAAATAAAGAAAGAGGAACTTGAATTCCTAAATCCCATCATCAATTGCTGTTTTTGGTTTGGTTTGGTTTGGTTTGGTACTGGGGAATGAACGCAGGGTTTCCCCACCATTGAGCCCCAGCCCCAGCCCTTTTTAAAAATATACATTCTATTTAGAGACAGGGTCTCAGTAGGTTGCTCAGGGCCTCGCTTAGTTGCTGAGACTGACTTTGAACTTGCAATCCCCTTGCCTCAGCCTCCCGAGCTGCTGGGATTACAGGCATGAGCCACTGTGCCCAGTTAGGGATTGCTTCTTCTTTGCAGCTAAAGGACTGAAAAGTCCAAAAGACAGATACTTGATCCCATGAGTTGGCAAACTACAGTGTTAATTTAATTTGCAGCCTCACGGAAATTAAACAGAACCTTGTGGAAACAGAACCTTGATTGATTGGGTGGGGACCTGGAGGATGAAGATGAAGACTACTTGTAATCTCCATCTTCAATGGAATTCACTTGCCAGTCCTTTCAACCACCGTTCTCCTATCTGTTCAGGTTGCTCTGACCTTGTTTAAGGCTCTCAATAACCTCAGCAGAACTCACCCAATCAACGGAGCAGAAGCCAAATCTCCTCAGTATTCGAACCACTCTCATTTTCTTCAAACCTATTGACAGTCAAGATTCTAGTAGGACCCAGAGGTACACAGTCTCACCTAGAAGAATGCTTATACACTAAAAATACCTGCAGAGACCCACACATCTACAGTCATCTGATCCTTGAAAAAGGTACCCAAAATATATATTGGAGATAAAACAGCCTTTTAAACAAATGGTGCTGGCACAACTGGTTGTGCATATTTAAAAGAATGAAACTAGACCTTTATCTCTCACCCTGCACAAAAAATCAATTCAAACTGGATCAGAGACCTCAGAATTAGTCCAGCAACTATGCAACTTCCAGAAGAAAATGTAGGTTCAACACTTGTTTAGGCACAAGCAAGACTTCCTCAATAGGACCCCTAAAGTTCAGGAAATAATGCCAGAGTTAATAAATGGGATGGCATCAATTTAAAAAGCTTTTGCACAGTCAAGGAAACAATTAGGAATGTGAAGAGAGAGCCCACAGAGTGGGAGAAAACCTTTGCTAGCTACTTTCCTGACTGAGGATTAATGTCTAGAATATATAAAGAACTCAAAAATCTTCACACCAAAAAAAATAATACGTGGGCAAACGAATTAAACAGACGCTTCTCAAAGGAAATACAAATGGCCAACAAATGTACAAAAAAATGTTCACATCATTAATAATTAGGAAAATGCAAATCAAAACCGCACAGAGAGTTCAGCTTACACCAGTCAGAATGGAAGTCATCAAGAATACAAATAGTAAATGCTGGGGAGGATGTGGAGGAAAAAAGAATTTATCACCCAACTGTTGGTTGGATGGTAAATTACTACAGCCGCTAAGGAAATCAGCATGGAGCTTCCTCAAAGTAGAAGACATCAAACCACCATATGATCCACTTATACCGCTCCTCGGTATCTATCCTGAAGAGTTAAAGTAATCCTGTTATAGTGATGCATGCAAACCCGTGTTTGTAGTAGCCAAACCATGGAACTAGCTTAGACATCCATCAATAGATACATGGATCAAGAAAATATGGTAAATACACACAATGGAATTTTATTCGGCCATAAAGAAAAATGAAATTATGTCACTTGCAGGGAAATGGATGGAACTGGAGATTGTGTTAAGCAAAAAGTCAAAATTCCAGAAGATGGAGGGTTGTATGTTTTCTTCACTTGTGGAAGCTAAAGAGGAAAAAGGAACAGAAAGGTGGGGGCGAATTTCCTAAAACTCAAAGGGAGATCAGTAGAGGAAAGGGTTCAAGGATGGGAGTCAGGGAGGGAGGGGGAAAGGGCTGGGGAGTGACACTGGCCAAATGACATTGTGCGCATGTATGAATATGTAACAACAAACCCCAGCAATAAGTACAACCATAATACACAGGTAAAAAAATGTGAGAAAAAAAATAAAAATACCTGTAGGAAGAAATCTAGCCAATACATAGCTGTATTTACCAACATGGGTAACGCATACCAGAGGCTTTATATTCAACATACTGGCTCAAGCAGCTAGGAGCAGTTCGAATTGTTTCCGTAGCTGGCAGAAACCAGGCCTCCATGGTAGCCCACGTTAAGTCAATCTGCTGCCATGGCTGGAGTGTGTGTTGCCCCCCAGAGGTGCACTTGCTGCAAGCTTGACCCCCAGTATAACAATGTTGAAAGGAAGTGGGACTTTTAAGAGGCAGGATGTGATGGGAGGTGCCTGGGTCATGACTGCCCACATGAGAGGATTATTGCTGGTCTCCTGGAGTGGGCTAGGTCTCACAGGAATGGATGACTTCCTGTGAGAGCCTGTTCTCATAACACAAGAAGCCTGGTCCTCTCTGTCTTACTTTAC